ATAGTCAAATGACAGCAAACTCACAATTATTAACAACCACACCTAAAACAAAAACAAAAGCAAACTAAGCAAACAACTAGAACAGGAACAGAACCACAGAAATAGAGATCACATGGAGGGTTAGCAACAGGGGAGTGGGAGGAGAAGAGAGGGGGAAAAGGTACAGAGAATAAGTAGCATAGATGGTAGGTAGAAATAGACAGGGGGAGGGTACGAATAGTATGAGAAATGTAGAAGCTAAAGAACTTATGACACATGGACATGAACTAAAGGGGGGGAATGTGAGTGGGAGAGGGTGTGCAGGGTGGAGGGGAATGAAGGGGGAAAAATGAGGGGGGAAAATACCTAAAAAAGAAAAGGTATTTTTTAAAATATACTTTTTAAAATAATATAGTTCAGATTGATAAACTTTTTATTTTTTAAAATATACTTTTGAAAAGTATATTTTAAGAAAAGTTCAGATTGATAAATTTTTAAACAGACTCATCAAGATAAAAGAGAAAGGACTCATCAAGAAAAAAGAGAGAAGATCCAAATGAATAAAATCAGAAATGAAAGAAGAGAAATAACAACTTATACCAAAGAAATACAAAGGATTGTAAGAAAATATTATGAACTATATGCCAACAACTGGACAACCTGGACAAAATAAAGTCCTAGAAACATACAATCTTCCAAAATTAAATCAGAATGAATCAGAAAATCTGAAATTTAACTTATAATTTTAAAAAACTCCTAACACAAAAGCCCTGAACTGGATGTCTTCACAGGTGAATTTTACCAAATATTCTGAGACTAACACCCATCCTTCTCAAACTATTTTATAAATTTCAAGAGGAAGGAAGGTTCTCAAATTCATTTTACAAGGCCAGCATTATCCTAATTCTAAAACTATATAAAGACACTACAAAGAAAGAAAATTATAGGCCAATATCCCTAATCAACACAGATGCTAAAATCCTCAACAAAATATTAGCAAACCAATGCAGCAATGCATCCAAAAGATCATACACCATGATCAAGTAGGATTTATTCCGGAAATGCAAGGTTGGTGCAACATTTTCAAATCAATAACTGTGATTCACCACATAAACAAAATAAAGGGGAAAAAAAAAACACATGATCCTATCAGTAGATACAGAAAAAGCACTCAATAAAATCCGTCACGGATTTATGATAAAAACTCTCAGCAAAGTGGGATTAGAGGGAACATACCTAAACACAATAAAGACCATATATGACAAACCACTACCAGCATCATATTCTACTAGCAAAAACTGTAAGTGTTACCTTTAAGATCTGGAAAAAGACAGGGATGTCCTCTTTCACCTCTCTTATTCAACACAGAACTGGATGTCCTAGCCATAGCAATCAGACAAGAAGAAATAAAAGGCATCCAAGTTGGAAAGGAAGTGGTAATACTGTCATTATTTCCAGATGACATGATACTATACGTAGAGAACCTCAAAGATTCTACAAAAAAAAAAAACTACTAGAACTATCAATGAACTCAGCAAATTAGCAGGATACAAAATTAATATCCAGAAATCAGTTGCATTTTTATATGCCAACAATGAACTAACAGAACAGGATATTAAGAAAACAATCCCGTTCACAAATGCTGCAAAAATAATAAAATACCTAGGAATAAAACTAACCAAAGATGTAAAAGATCTGTACTCGGAAAATTATAAGACAGTGAAGAAAGAAACTGAAGATACAAATAAGTGGAAGCACATATCATGTTCATGGATATGAAGAATTAACATCATTAAAAAGCCCCTATTACCCAAAGCAATCTATAGACGCAACACTATTCCTAACAAGATTCCAATGAAGTATTTTGTAAAACTAGAAAAAATATTTCTAAATTTTATATGGAACCACAAAAGGTCCTATACAGCAACAGTGATCCTGGGGAAAAAAGAACAAAGTTGGAAGAATCCTACTACCTGATATCGAACTATATCATAAGGCCATAGTAATCAAAACAGCATGGTACTGGAATAAAAAGACACATAGATCAATGGAGCAGAATAGAAAGCCCAGAAATAAACCTACATTTCATAGTCAATTAATATTCAACACAGGAAGCAAGCATATACAATGGGCTAAAGATAGTTTATTCAATAAATGGTGTTGAGAAAATTGGACAGAAACATGCAGAAAAATGAAATGTAGACCACCTTCTTACACCACACAGAAGAATAAATTCAAATGGACCTAAGACTGAAATGTTAGACCTGAAACAATAAAAATCATAGAAGAAAACATAGGCAGCAGAATTTTGGACACTGCTCATAACAATATTTGATTGCATATATCTCCCCTGGCAAAGGAAACAAGAGAAAAAAATAAACAAATGGAATTACATCAAACTAAAAATGTTTTGCACAGCAAAGGAGACCATCAATAAAATATAAAGACAACCCACAGAATGGGAGAACATATTCGCCAGTACATCTGATAAGGTGTTAATATCTAAAATTTATAAAGAACTTACAAAACTCAATCCCCAAAAAACAAGCAATCCAATTAAGAAAGGGCAAAGGGCCTAATAGATACTTCTCCAAAGAGGACATACAGATGGCCAACAGACATATGAAAAGATGCTCAATGTCACTAATCATCATATAAATTTTATATAGAAATGTAAATTAAAACCACAATGAGATATCATCACACATGTCAGAATGCCTATCATCAGTAAATCATCAAACAAATGCTGGCAAGGATGTGGAGAAAGGTGGGAATGCAGATTGGTGTAGCCACTGTGGAAAACAGTGGAGATACCTCAAAATATTAAAAATGGATCTGCCTCTTGACCCAGCAATCCCACTTCTGGGAATATATCCAAAGGAATCCAAAACACTAATTTGAAAGAACATAAGCACCTCTATGTTCATTGCAGCATTATTTACAGATGCTGAGATATGAACGCAGCCCAAGTTTCCATCAGTAGATGAGTGGATAAAAAAAATGATGGGACATTTACACAATGGAATTCTACTTGGCCATAAAAAAGAAGAAAATGTTACCCTTTGCTACAATATGGATCGAACTGGAGAACATTATGCTAAGTGAAATAAGTGAGTCAAAGAAAGACAAATACCATATGATTTCACTCATATGTGGAATCTAATAACAAAGTGAACTAACAAGCAAAATAGAGATAGACTCATAGATAGAGAGCAGGATGAGAGCTATTTCAGGGGTAGGTGAGGGGGTGGAGGGATTGAGCAAAAAGGAAAAAGGACTCACAGACATGGACAGCAGTGTAGTGATTGCTGGGACTGGGGGGTTTAAGGGGACATTTAGAATCAAAGGACAGATAAAGAGCTTCCCAGACAAGATAAAGCCAAATGAATACATCACCACCAAACCAGCATTATGTGAATGATAAAGGATCCTCTTTAAGAAGATAAAGAATATGAACAATAAAATGGCAACTAATACATATCTATCACCAACTGAATCTGAAAAACAAAATAAGCAAGCATAACAGAAACAGAATCATATATACAGAGAAAATTTTAATGGTTGCCAGATGGGAGGTGGGTTGAGGGGGGATGAGCCAAAAAGGTGAAGGGGTTAAGAAGTACATATTGGTAGCTACAGAATAGTCATGGGGATGTAAAATATAGCATAGGAAATAGAATAGCCAGAGAACATATATGCAGGACCCATTAACATGGACAACAGTGTGAAAATTGCATGGGGACTTGGTGGAGGGAGGCAAAGGGGAAAAAATTCAGACAACTATAACAGCATAATCAATAAAATATAATTTTTAAAAAATTACTTATCCTTCAAAGAGGATAGATAATTCGTCTAAGTTAGTTGCAAGTATCAAAGCCAGAATTCAGTGTACAGTCTGACTCCAGAGCTCAAGCTATTAACCATTAGGAAATATTATATCCCCTGCAAAATTAAGATCTGTCTAAAACTGACCTAGTACTAGACAGGACTAAACTCAGAAACAATATTGGTGCATTATACAGATTTGTTCCAAAGTAACTAATTTAGCATTGTACAAGTAAATATATACAGTAAAGCTATTAGGAAATATATATTAATGTCCAGAATTAAATAAACTTAATATTTTCCTTTCATTATAGTTGTATGTGTATATTTTGGTAATCTATTTTAAAAATATATTCTTCCTGGCCATTATACTTTGAAAAAGAATGTAAGAAATTTTTCAAGGAAATTCAGGGATTACTACCACAATCAATTCCTAGATAAGTTAGAATGTACACTCCTAAAAAATCAAGGACCATACCTATTTTGTTCATCATTATATATTCATGTCTAGCATACAAGTGCTTAATTTAGATATAAAATGTATAATTAGTATTTTCTTACATATTTACATAACTCTTACGTATATATTATACATGTATATATATACATCCTTCCACCAGTCATCCCCTTCTTGATAACCCATAATGCTAATCTTGTGTAAATTATTAAAGCAACCTTCTAATTGGTGTTATCTTTGTCTCCCTTATCTTTTCTCAGCTGCCAGAATAATCCTTTTTTAAAGAGCCAGATATTTCACTGCTTTGCTCAGAATCCCACAAGGTCTTCCCATGTCAGAGGAGTCTTACTGTGGCTTAGAAAGCCTGTGTCCTCCCCATTCCCTGCTATACCTCTGACCTCCCACCATTCCACTCTCCTTACCATTCCTCAAATATTCCAGGTACAACCCCCCTTTTAAGGCCTTTACATTCTGTATCCTCTGGAAAGTTCTGCCCCATGTTATCTGCATGGCTCTCATCTACTTACACCTTTGCCCAATGTCTTCTCAATGAGTTCTACACAAACCACTTTAATATATAAAGTTGCAAATCTACCACCACTGTATTACCCCAGCTTTTCTTATTCCATAGGATTTTATCATACATAATTTAATAAGGCTTGTTAATCATGTCTTTAAAGACTTGGGCATCCCAAGTGTAGAACGGTGTCTAGCATAGAAATACCTGAATGAATGAATCTTTTTATATCCCAAACAGCAGGTGCTCAGCATATATTTATTGAGTATAGATCATGAAATTACATTTATCATGGATTAGGATGCTTAACCAGAGCATGGAGCCTATTTAGATATCAGCTTTGTAACTACAATTATTAGATATACACAACAAAATTGTAGCAGTAGTTAGTTACCTCTGGAAAGATAATGTTCATTGCATCAGTGGTCAAGGGGAACTTCAGCTTTATTTGCAATACTACATTTTTCCCTAAAAGATGTATCACTCATGTCATTAAAATGAGTGCAGATTTAAAAACAAAAGTAAGAGGTTTTGAAAAGAAGCAAGCGACAAGAAAAGGGAGTAGGCTTTTTCAATCTGAAGAAAGGCAAAGGGAGGACAATTCTAAAGGTAGATTAAGAAATGGGTTTAAATACAGTATGAAACTGCTTACTACTAAAATAAAAATGGAATACTCTGAGGTAATAAATTAACATTTCAAAATGCTGGATTTTTTAAATGACATGATCCTGTCCAAGTGTGAGAGCTAAACCCAAGATCTATCATTGTTCATTTCAATCTTTTTTGATTCTGCAATGCCTAAAAATTCTTAAAGATAGGGAGATGGGACAATGAAACTTTAACACTGAAATGTTCGTTTAAGCCCTGATCGGTGTAGCTCAGTGGATTGAGTGCTGGCCTGCAAACCAAAGGGTTAGACTGATTTCATTCCTGGTCAGGGAACATGCCTACGTTGCAGGGCACTTGAGAGGGAACCACACATTAATGTTTCTCTCCCTCTTTTTCTCCCTTCCTTCCTGTCTCAAAATTAATAAAAAGCATCTTTAATAAAAAAGAATTCTACTATAACACCTTTTCCCTCAATGATGGGAAATTGAAGGGGCATGAATCAAAACAAAAATGTTTGAAAATCCCAATGTTTTTATTAGTATCACTACTACTATTTTAACTGGCTTGCTGCCTTCTCAAGTCTAAGATATCCACTATTGCTTTATTAGATTGTGCATAAATTGCAATAATTCTGCTTGTTTTCAAGGCCACAATTTAAAAAATTAGTTTCAGTGAAAAATATTCACTTCAGAAAATGTATAAATATGGTTGTTAAGCTTCAATTAACATAAATATACCAATTTGATGACTAATCTGTTAACTAGAAAAGTATTTGTTTTAGATATTTGTGAGTTTTTTTCCATGTACTGATAGGACTTTTCACAATTTTTTTTTTAGATAGGGCTACAGGGCTTTTCCAAAAAGGTGTATGAAAGGTACTTTTCCAGTATGTTAGAACAAAGCCTAGAGCATCTCTGCAGACTTCACACAGCAAGTTCATTATGTGAGTTTAAAAATATGTTCAAGTATTTTCTCCATTTAATGTTCAGTGGTATCTAGTTAGCATTTACAAAATAATCGAGCCAGTGGTTTTCAAAGGGCAAAATGGATATATGATCTTTGCAACTATTTCTCCAAATACTATATAACACTTTGAACAAACATGCCACTGAAGAAATTTAACATTCAACTTGCTCATTTAATCTCCAGAAGTGAGTCTAATTGTACTGTAAAAGTTCTATCAACAGAAACATGGAAAATTCTGCATTCTCCCAAACATGTCATCATTAGGTAAAAACTCATGTAGGCAAAATAGTATTTATGCTTCCATTTTATTGTTTTTAAGAATTAAACTGCCACCTCAGTAGTCTTAAGAGCAATATAATGAAACATACATACATTTAATTTAGACTGTGTCCATTATAGTTTCAAAGGCTTCCCTGAAATACGGCTGGAATTCACATCTTTTTTCTTCAAAAAAAGAAACACTAACAGTAATTTTGTTATCCTTATACCCACCCACCCTCGTTCAAATAACTGGATGAATTCAAGTCTAACACATTTAAAAATTGTGTCTGCTACAACACATTCATCTGATTTGCCTCCTTGCATAACTTGTATTTCTTAAACCTAACTGAAAATAAATCTTTTTTTTAAAAGCCTACAAGAATTCTCTTAATACGTGGAATTTTATCATGATACTAGTTGTTATGTCCAATACATAGGCTAAGTGGTTTCATAACCACATTCAACTCAAGCAAATTTCAATAAAAACAGGAGAGTTCTTCATAAATAGTTGAGCTCTAAAATGAATTTGGCTATTCTCTTATTACATGAAACAAAGTATGGTATTGGATTTCCAATACCACTTTGTAACAGTTCCTATATATTTGCATGAAAGGGAATCAAGTTTGCACCAGTCTGAGTACCTACAGTAATATGTATGATAGAAGCACTCACCACCAACTTTTCACACTATTTCACTTTCATGCTTCTAATAACAAAAATTTCTTACCGGAAATATTACATTAACACTGGACTCTCAAATTGATAGCTGTGAAAAATCATTTTTAAAAGTGTATTAGTTATTTTTGACTGGTCAAGGTTGAAATGGCCATTTATATTATTTCTAACTTCAGCTCTAGGTTCATAGATGACTTTGCATCCGATTATTCAAGATGAGAAACTGTTTTGCCTGTACCTGACATAATTAAATGGTAAATTAGCAATCAGTTCACCCTTTGTCAAAAAGAAATGTTCTAAATTTATACACTACAAACTATTCAAGAAAGGATATCTGCATACTACACATTTCATGTTTATATTATGCACCATTTTAGGGGGGAGGAAATACTTCACAGGGGTTTATTCAGAGGATATATAGTAACATCCTATGAATAATGAATTGTACATGAATCCTGTAGAAACTGAGTGGTCATCTTAGGTGGACTATAACAAGCCCCTATAATGCAAAAGCTGACTCTAAAGGCACCTTATAAAGCACTGAAATTCACAATTTAGTCATTACTTTTCTCTTCTCCAATACAAAATCATCTGGTAATCTTCACTGCTGACTCCATGTTAAAATATCCCAAGTTTTAGACTGCTTAACCAACAAAAGAAAAAGGAAATCATTAATAGTTTTAAAATTTCAAGTTAAAGAACCCTTATCACACAGTAATGAAACCTGAGCAATGCAAGTTTGTGACTACAAGAATGTCCTTCATTAATACAGTATTCAGATTCCTCCATGGCATTCAAATTGTAACTTAACACCCAACAAACAAGACCCCACTTAAGCACAGGATCAAACTGTCATGAAATGAGGAATACATAAAGCCTATTAAGCTCTAAATATTTAGTTTAAGACAATGAGCAGAATAGAACTCACTTTATCTAAAGAACACCATTTAAACAGTTCTATGAAACGTTACTAAGATTACTAAGTGTGGTGAATCACGTGATTCCAACCATTCATTAAAAAGCATTAATGAGTAACAGCATCCCTCAAGAACCTGAAGTCTGTAGAGCCTATTATTTTTGGCCTTATCTTCCCAAATAATTAGTAATGCCTTATATATTACAAACGTAAATATATCTCAGTACTGGAATTTCATTGTATTTTTGGTGCTCCTGAGGCTGCCTACAAATGAAAAGGCATCCAAGTGAAGTGCATTATATACTTTATACCTCAAAATTTCAGTGCCTAAAATGTGTAAATTTTCTACCATTTAACAGTCTGCCTTACAGTAAATTCTAGTAGATTTTTACTTTTAGGATTTTATTGTAACTTCGGGAAATTAGTGGTAAAACATATGGTTTTAAAAAACAGTATGTGGCTGCACTTAAATTCACATAAAAATAGCATTTTTACAACCATATTGAAATTTAATCCTTTTACACAGGTTAACAAAATGTATCACAAGAAAAATGAAACTGGGTTTAACAAAAGCAGTGTTCTTGAAAATGGAACAATAAAAATTTTTTTCTAATTTTTTACAAATGATCACCTCAATTTACCACACTAGGGGAACAAAGTTGTTAAAATATAGCTGTGCTCTCCTGAGCCACTTATCTGCACTACAGTATAGCACTTGAAATCAATCCTAAAGTGGAGATTTAAAACATTTTAAGAGACAAGACCCTAAGTGTTTTAGAGCCACCTCAATAAGAGGTGTTTTTCCTTCCCAAAACAGTCAGCGCTTAATTAAAAGATGAACTATACATAATTTTTCCCACGTCTTCAGTTGAAAATACTATTATCATTGGTAATATGGTCTATATCTTGTCTGATCGGGATGATGTGGTCCAGGAAGTGGGGTCTGAGAAGGCGGACCCTGCATTCGTGGAGGAGGCGGTGGCCCTCTTGGTGCAGGCCATATACCAGGACTCATTCCCCCTGGTTGTGTAAATGGAGGGCTCAGAGTTCCTTGATCTTCAGTGAACTGGGGTAAAGAGTTAGGATTATAATGGTGAGGAGGGGGTGCAGTTACAGGTGGACCACCATGTTGAGGTGGTGGAGGTCCTGGAGGAGGATGATTCATATAAGGTGGCATCTGGGCAATAATATGTCCAGGGGGTGGGGTTATTGGTGGTGGAGCAGAGGTCATTGGTGGAGGTGGAGCTTGGCTATAAACCAAGTGAGGAGTACCTGCAGCCTGGGGAGGATGTGGCATTGGATGGCTTATTGGTGGTGGTGGAGGAGGGGGTGGTGCATAATGTTGCTGTGGAGGCATAATATGATGAGGGTGCGATACCACTGGTTGACCCTGATATTCAGGATGATGGTGAGCAGGTGCTGGGGCAGGAGGTGGTGGTTCTCTAGCACCTGAATTTGAGTCATCCTGAATAGGGACAGTTATTAAATTGCTGTGTTTTCTTGTTGAAATACGAAAGGTTTCCTGACTGACCGATCGAGGTGGAGGTGGAGCCATGGGCAATTCTGCTGGAGGAGCACGAATATCCTCATGTGGCTGATTATAGTGCTCATGTGACACATGTTGCAAAGGAGGTGGTGGCATCATGATGTGCTGCTTTGGCGGAATATGGCTCATATGGTGCTTGTCTGGCGGCATTATAAAACGATCAGGGATTTCAGTTGGTGGTGGGGCAATAGGAGGATGAACATTTTCAAGTGAAGCACGGGTAACAGGTTTTCCAGCTCTCATATGGCGGTGGTTGATGTGAGCCTGTAAGTCTCTCTGAGACAAATATGTTCTCTTGCACCCTTGAACAATGCTACACATGAAGAGAGAACCCCGTGTACACTGCTCAATTCGCTGCACAGGATCACTACAGCTAAATTAGAAAAAGAAAAAATGAATTTACTAAAACAGACTTTAAAAATAATGCACTTAATTTCAAAGATATGCTTATTTTTAAAACTTGTTATGCAAAATACTGTAAAAGTTCACAGTTAAAAATTATACTGTAAGTGAACCTTTAATCTTTCCCATTTTGTTCACTATTAAGCATCAGTATTTCTAACAACTTCAGAACTCTTAATACAAGAAAAAACTGAAAGTGTATGAAACAATGTTTTAAGACCTTATTCTTCCCCAGACCTAGAATTTATCGGATTTTCTCAAACAATTCTATGCTTTGAGTCCATTTGCAAAAACAACAAACACCAGGAAGTGCAAACCAAATGTCACAATCATACCATTCAAACTGGTATGGTATTTGAGCAACAAGCATTTGCTGAGCAAATACTAAGTGAAAGAACACTAAGTGGAAGATGTTGCAAGGACTACTAAAACAAGATCATCCTAATGTCAGGGTTCTCAATATTAAAAAATACAAAATTTAAATTCAAACCCTGGCTACCAAGAGTCTTTTAAGGAAGGGATCTTTCTGGATGGTCAAATTTACTACTATAAAGTATTATACACTCCAGCCTTTCTAAATTGTAAGCACTAATTTTAACTCAGTATTTTAATGACTCAGGGTCAAAATTACTATTCTTCATTCTCTATATTTAGTCTTCTCTTGCCTTTATAATAGTCTTCTAAAACAGTGGATAGAGAACTAAACTAGGAATCAAAGAACTGGGACTTAGTAGTAGCTATGTAATTTTGGAGAGGCCATTTAATCTGTTTCTTCATCTATAGAATGGGTTAAAAAATGTACTCTACCTAACTGTTTTTATCTCTACTTCACTTGAAGAGTATCCTTAAATCAATGGAACAACAAAAATAACACTATTTAATCACTAAACACTATATATGTATAACTACAAGCTGCTATCATTGAATATGTATGTCAAGTCATTCAACACTATATTAAATGGCTCTATATTCTTTTTTTTAAATTTTTATTTTTTAATCCTCACCCAAGGATAGGCTCATTGATTTTACGGAGCAGGAAAAGGAGGGAGAGAAAAATCAATGTAAGAAACATCCATCGGTTGCTCCTCGCGTGCATCCCAAGCTGGGGCAATCAGGGCATGTGCCCTGACCTGGAATGGAACCCACAACCTTTTGGTTACGGGATAATGCTCCGACCAACTGAGCCACTCTGGCCAGTGTGGCTCTATATTCTTGACTCTTGAGTTGTGTCTGTATTTCCATCCTTGCTGTAAGGCTAGCACTCCTTCTTGAAACTAATAGGCTTCTCTTTAATAGCCATTTGACACACTTCTCATTTTTAGCTTCTTTTCACTATAAGCTCAAGAGTATCTCCACAGTAACAGGAAGTGAGGCGCTTGCTGTGAGATAATACTTAAAAGCAGTAGTATATAACAGTTACATTAACTTGGATTGCCATTTCTTCACTTTCTGATATGGGTCTGATAATGCTGATAGGCCTACGCTCTAAGTAGCACTGATGTGCTTATGGAGTTACATTTACTACCTTGAAAATTAAATTCCCTTTTAAATATTAACACCAGAACATTTACATCAAAAGGAAAAGCTTTTAATATACTCTACCAGTGTTTCACAACATCTAAACATCCTTTACCTCAATGAAGCTATCAATTTACTACGTAATTTTACGTGAATGTAACCATGTTGAAAAATTAGGCATTACAGAAAATTAGGCAAAAGAGAATATGCACTTATAATTTCATAATTCTTCTAAATTGTAACTGTAGAAAAGAAATATTCTTTATACTCATACTACAGATTTTTCAATCTGTGACTTTAAAGAGCTAATAAAAGTATGCCTAGACAATCAGTTTGTACTGGTTTGTCAACGAATCATCCTTTCTCTCTCAGTGATGCCAATCTTCCTACACCATAAAAGGAAATCATCCCTTACAATTGTCCAAGGCTTTGCTATCAACCAAAAGAACAATTCTTGGGATAGCTTCTGACACATGTTAGAAGGAACCTAGGACAAGGAAGCTTTTCTCAAAGCTTTCCTCCAGCCTTCTACCAAGGGCTCTACATTGACATAAAAATTCCTAATTTAATCTGGATCCTTCAAGACCATTCCAATATAAATGAATATGAACCAATGTGTCTAGATCTTCATAACTTGCCTGAGTCTATGCCACCATGGTGTTCTAAGATATGCTCAAGATATAATAATCGGATTTGGAGGTAATAAGTAAAAGCTTACACTTACATAGACTACTTACTATATACTATGTAATATATATATATGTGTATATATATATATATATATATACACACACACATTCTATATATAATAATATAGTATTAATTCAAATAATAACCCAATGAGGTAGATGCTATTAGTTCCATTTTACAGATGAAGGAACAGCCTACAGGATCTGGCAGAAGTAATGCCTGCTTGAGTGTGGTTGGAGGGCAATAATACGGGTGTACTAATTTACAGTTTTAATTTAAACATTTTACCTAAAATGTCATATGGTATGCTTGAGTGTGATAGTTATGTTACAGAATTATATGCTTATGATTTTGTAATAAAAAGTGGGCATTATTTGTGCCAGACCCTATATATCAACACAGCTAATACATGGCAGAAAAGGGATTTGAAACCCTAATTCCAAAGTCTTTGCCCTCAATTACTATCCAAACTACCTCTCTAGTATCCCATCAAAACAAGAAAATAACCATTTCTGGCTTTTAACAAATTTTGTGATGACAAATATATTTTGTCAATTTGGCTGATCTGAATCAACTGATAACAGCTACCTAGCCCTATCCTGAGAAGGTTACGGCCAACTCTGGGCTCACACAGAAAGAGTAGTCATGCCTACACATTTGATATGCTGCCACTGGTATACATCACCTCCGACCTTTAACCAAGATTATAAATCTATAACACAGACTTTATTATTCAAAACTTTAATGATGATCTTACCCTGGACACATCTTGTCTCCCTTTTTTTCATGTAAAATAGCACAGTCATAGCAAAACACGTGCTTGCATGGAATCTGTGAACAGACATATTATAATTATGCATATTAGAACAAATTAAAGCATTTCCAAAACACTAACAGTAAAGATAGTAACCTAGACATAGAAGGCACAAGAAAACTGTTTTTTAAAATGAACATTTAGTAAGTACTAATTGTATAAAAGTAACAGCCTTTTTCAGACTTTGGCCCTTTACCTAATAAATGTATATATGCACATTCACTTATACTTTCTGAAGGTATTAACCCTATGAATTTCATCCATGGTCCCCACTGGTTAAAAGCTCCTGAAAAAGAATTCTGTAACCATGTTTTATCTCTTATTCTGTCCCTCCTGAAACTATGCCAAAGCAGTAAGATAACAAATGTCTCCTCCATTCAACGTAAGTAGTATTTTCCCCTGGTAGCCTTATGGTAATAAACTTATAAAAATCTAAAAATAAATCAGGATACAGGAAAGTGATGTTAGGCCATTTTATAGTTCACAGTCCATTACTGTTATTTAGCTATGTAATACAGCAAAGCAACAGTCACAGTCAATGCCCTCTATCATACAAACATATTACTGAATTTAATTTTCTTCACACACAAATGTAAAAATACCTTTTTAAAATGGAGGATATGTCAAAAATACTATAAAATTACAGTTAGGGTTGTAATTTTTTTAATGATTACAATTCTCAAAAATAAAAATGTTATTAATTCAGTTTTACATTAAAAATTATAGCCTTCAAAAATGAATAACTGATTTTATTTTATTAATCAAGAAAAAAAAGTTTTTCCTTAATAAACAGAATAAATATAAACAAACAGGTATTCAACAGTCCAAAGAAATTTAGTTTCAAAAGTTAGTTTCCATAATACTTTACAAGCAATTCAAGTTTGTCAAGCCAATTATATTAAATGTGTATCATCCCAAAATTTCCCTTAGCTATTTCACATTTATTTTAAATGTCATGAACTTAGACATTAAACAATGATAAACCTATCTACTCAAATTTCAGAATCCTACTTCTACAAAAATGTTTACATTTACAGAAATAGAATTTAATTTAATTATACTTACCATTCGCCCGTAAATCTTAATAGGCAATCCGCATTTGTCACAGAAATGAACTGGTGTATCATCCTTTTCACCAAGGATATTTATCTGTTAAAATGATATCATTAAAGTTTCCTTTTCAAGCATTTCTAAAATTCCTACCTATAATTTACACAATTAATCTATATTTTATAAAAGTTGTTAAAAACAATTAGAAATAAAAGTTTCTTGGTATACTCACATATTTCACACCATTGGCTGTGCTGACAGTTTTTGTTTCTTTGTTCTTAAACAGTATCAATGGTTATTGATTTTACTGAACTTTATTAAAAACTGCTTCAAATTATTTTTGGAAGTGGCAAAAATAGGGCATGAGCTGTATGTGCTGAAAGACAGCTATAATAAAAGTTCATGCCGCTCTTTATGTATCCTGCATTTTTCTAATAAAATATTTAAAATATCTTATTGTTCTAATAAAAGCTTTTATTTTATTTATACCTGAAAGTCCCAAAAAAGGTGTCCAGGAAATCTTCGCTGACTTCCAAACAGTTCACCCCCCTTACAGTCATACCGTTCTTCTTCATTATAATCAAATCCTTCTGAGAAAAGAAAGGGTTATCTATTAACTTCCCATATCTCACATTTCACTTTGGAAGTACATGTACATGGTAAAATAGGCCTGTTGCCTGATGTTTTTTCAAAATTCTTGTATGAACAAGATAACCGAGACAAGTTTAAATTTCAGCTAGATATTATCCTGGTGATTGTGTAGTCCAACTCTCTTACTTCATAACTGAGAACACTGCAGTAAGGAGACCAGCACTCAATGCAGCGAAGGTAAATGGAAGAGCTAGTAACAGACCTCAGATCTCACTTCCATTCAAGGCTCTCATTACTGACCCAACTATCTCTAGTATAAAACTTTACTAATTACCCTCATCGTGCTTACTACACAAATTTTAAAGGTACCGACCATCATTTAATTTATCTACAAAAGTGGTAAGCCAAAAGAATGTAATGAAACAAAAAATTCTGCAAATCTTCTTTTTGTAACTTAGTAAACTGTGTATCTTCTTTTTCAGCTTTAAACCAAGCCTCATTTTAGAAACATCAACACATTGATACTTCATCCCTCCAATTAAACCACTCCTTTGTTAATCATCCGAACAGATGAAGCCATATATATCTACTTCCATATCATATATATTTACAAGTGTCCTCCCCTTTTACTGCATATACCAGTATCAGTAAACTTAAAATATGAAGATTAAATGAGCTCTTTTCTCCGACCGAACAAAAAGGTTGATGGTAATCCTCTCATCCCATACAACAGAACCAATAAAACAATAAATAGTCTGATGGGGATTCTAGGTAGAATCCAATTAACTAAAGTAAAGCTAAAAAGGCAAATCTGTCCCTTCAAAGTACCAGGTTTCTCATGACTCTTTTGGTCCTGGAACTGGTAAAGGAGAGTAGCACACAAGTTTTAACGTTACCCACATGGCTAAGTTACAGCACCTGGGTACAACACACAAACACTAACCAGTACAAAACAGACAGATGGATGAACACAAGGACATATACACACACACACAAACACACACACACAGCAATGCGAGAATTTTTTAAAGCTTATAGTCACTCTAGTGTATTGCTATCTAATTATCTCCAATCAAATGTAGAGTTCAAAGAGTATTCTTGTGAGTTACACCTGAGTGACTGTAGGCTCTTTTATGACCCATTTACACCTTATAAAAGCTGGTATCGCCCTGGCTGGCATAGCTCAGTGGACTGAGTGCAGCCTGCGAACCAAAGTGTCGCAAGTTCGATTCCCAGTCAGGGTACATGCCTGGGTTGCAGGCCATGACCCCCAGCAACCGCACATTGATGTTTCTCTCACTCTCTATCTCCCTCCCTTCCCTCTCTAAAAAAAAATAAAATAAATAAAATCTTTAAAAAAAAAAGCTGGTATCATCTAAAATTCAAAATAAGAAAATCAATTTTTCTCATTTACCTAAAACTCAAAAAATTATTGAGCAGAGCAATAGCCAAGGAAATTAAGAGCTCATTATAATTTTTTGGAGTAGTTCAACCTGCACTGCCATCTTTCATTAAACCGTATATATGTAGGTATCTGTACAGGTACCTCATCGGCACCTAAAACCTGCTATTTTGAACAATGCCTAAGGGGAAAAAAATCAATAATTTTACCCCAAATAGGTAAATCTAATGTATTCAAATATTACCTTCAGCCTCAGTTTGCTCTATTAATAGAGAGGCTGGTAACAGAAGTTCCCCCTAGAAAGGACTGTGCGGTAGGGGTAGGGGGGAGATGAAAAGATGCCTGAAGGAAAAGGGTAGAAGGGGGATTTTAGCTTTTTTGCATTACTTGGATTATTACAATATATGTACATTACTGTGTAGTTTCAAAAAAATTATTTAGAAAACAAAAAGGCAAAAAGGCCCTCCTCACTGCTAGTGCAGCCACAGCCCTAAGCTGCAACTACAATTTATAACATTTGACTTTAAATACTTGTTTAGATGGGGAGAGAAATCCTATAATGAAGGAAACTGTAATTTAAGGTATAATTAAAAGTTTGATTCTTAAAAAGGAATACAGACAGATTACTAGGACAGATCAAAATACTCATAGAACTTTAATATATGATAACCGCGTGATTCCTATTCAACAAGGAAAGACAGATTATTCAATGGTTGAGACAAATAGCAAGCTGTTTTACAGAAAAAGTAGGTAAAGCCAGCTACACTTTTTTTTTAAATAACAGAATGTTCCAAAGCAGGGGTCAGCAAACTTTCTATAAAATGTCAGATAATTAAGTACTCATGCAATTACTCAACCATGCCTTCACAGTGTGAAAGCAGCCATAAATAATACTTAAATGAATGGGCATGGCTATGTTCAAATAAAACTTTATTGGGCCCACAGGCCAGTTTGTTGACCCTATATAAAGGTAAAAGAGGAAAACTTTTATACTCACGAAATATGGTAAAGGCCTTTCTAAGAATGTCATAAAACCTAGAAGTCATAACAGAAAAGACTGGCTGTCTGCTACTTAGACTCTTCCAGTTTCTCTACAACAAAAATTTTATACATAACATTTGTCTGTTTGAGACAAATGGGGAATATATACAATATAAGACAAAGGGCCAATTTTATTAATTTACAAAGAACTTATAAAAATCAAGATAAAGGCAACAGGAAAAAATGGGAAAAGTATAAAAACAGGTAGGTCATAGGCAAAAGAAATGGCCAATAATATGAAAAGACATACAACCTCACTCATAATTAAAGAAATGTATATGAAAAATTTTTTTGAAAGGTTAATAGTCTGTACCAATATTGGTGTGTGGGAGTATAATCTGATGTACTGTTTTTGAAGAGCCATTTGACAATATTCGTATAAGTCTAAACATGCACAGTATCCACTGAGTTCTAAAATGTCCAAACCATGCAAAGTTTAAATTCTACAAAGTATACATATTAAGGTGTATGTACAAGGATATTAATGCAACACTGTTGTTAACAGTAAAAAAATTGCACAAACTTGTTAAACAAGTTATGGTAATGTCAATACATGAAATACGTAAACCTAATTTCTTAAATGAGGTATATCTGTATGTGCTGAGAAGGCAAAATCTCAAATGCATTTTATAAGAAAAAAGGGAAGTTACACATGAAAAAACTAAGAAAGTCACACCCTCGCAGGTGGAGCTCAGTGGATTGAGTGCTGGCCTGCAAAACCTAAGGTCACAGGCTCAATTCCTAGTCAAGGCACTCAAGAGACAAACAAATAATGTATCTCTCACACACTGATGTTTCTTTCCCTCTCTTTCTCCCTCCCTTCCCAGCTCTCTAAAACAAAATTAAATTAAAATAAAATAAAATAAAATAAAATAATCATCACAGATCATCAATTGGAGGAGAAGAGTGGTACGGGAGAGAGGGGAAATTTTACTTTTAATATCGTGCTTTCTGTAATACTGTTTAGATTTAACAATAGACAGTGTTACTTTCAACAAAAGAAAACTGAACCAAAATACAGGGTGGGGCAAAAGCAGGTTTACAGTTTTGAGTATGCAAGACACAGAGTTTACTCTTGTATTATTATTTACTAATTATTGTATTATTTTCCATACAAAGAACTGTAAATCTACTTCCCCCCCACCCTGTACTTATAAAGGGACAGAAAAGTACAGCATACTACAACGAGACATCAATTAAGACTGAAGAATGAAGAGTGCGTAAGATTTTTAAAAGATAGCTGTAAGCAAGTAAAATCATGTGGATTATTTGGTGGAATCAGATACAACAAAAAGACTTCTGGACCTGTTAGTTTAGACAAATTACCTTCATCACCAGGTGGAGCCTTTGCAGGCATTCTGTTTATAGTCCTCTGAGTGCGCGGTGCAGCTTTGGCTTTGTTCCCTTGTTTAGAGATGAGCTTTATAGGAATTCTTCTTCGAACATCAAGACCACCCAATGATCCAGAACTATTAGTGCCTTGTAACTCATTGTCTATGTTAGGAAAAAAAAAGTTGTAATGTCTTTTAGTTTTTCTTTTGATCATAATTCTGCCACAGGTATTAAAACAATATACCCAACATTATCAAGGGTTGAATATCTGAGTTCTGATAATAAAAATGTACTATGTTACAAGTTTAAGTGCTAATTTTCTCTAAGAATAAAGCCTTAACGAAATGCTTTTTGAGACATGGAATCTTTCAAAAAGTTGACAAAAGCTATAGAACTCACCCTAAAAAAGTAGACAATAAAATTTTTCATATATCTGACATGGGTTTATATAAACACAAAACCTTTCATAAGCCAAAGACAAGGGAAATTCCATAAAGTAAGAAAGGCAAATAAATTAGTTTAAAAAAAACAGTAATATTTTAAAAATGCAGGTTATTGAACAGACTATGTAACTGCCACCGTAGGAGGCAGTACAACCAAAACTGATAGCCAAGCTGTCGACAGAAACTCAGTAAAGCCACATTTGGAAGCAGTAACTAGTGACCTACAAAGCTAGTAGGATTATAGACATATTAAATTCACAATGATAATCTGTACTCTTTCTGAACAATATGAAGAAAATTTAAAATGGGTCCTTAGTAATTAATGGAAGTTATCTTTCAGTCTACTTTATACTATTACTCTTATAATAGCTAACCCTCAAGACAAAATTCATAGAAAAGGAATTATACAGACAGCTAAAATCTTGACTTCAGATAAACCCAATTTTATCAACTTTCAACACTTGGCTAAATGTATTAACATGATTAATAATGTATTTCAACTGCTTTCAGTCTAGTTGCTTATTTAGGCATACCTTCAAGCACTGTTACAGCCAAACGGCAGATACAACAGAATGAAATTTTTTTGCTCAAAGTTGTTCCTGATTTCCTAATAACTAAAAAAATATCCAAATTGTAGACAGACAGCTAACAGTTCAACATTGTCCTTCATATACTAAAAGGACTTTCAATGGTTTTACCTTGGTGAATAATCAAAATACTAACATTTCATTACAAGTCCTTTTCACACCACCCTCAGCACTTGGAAGTCACTACTGTTGCTTGCTTAGTCTACCACGACTTTCAAGAGCCTACTCCCCTTAATGCCTTGCTGCCTGCCTCATTCTAGGTCTGTCTTGGGTTTTTTGGTTTATTAAGAAGCAGAACATACAGCACAGTTTCTTTTTGAATATGCCAACTAAAAACACCAAGCCCATGTCAAAAATCTTTGGATATTACAAAGAAGGTGAGAAGTATGTATACAACTGGCCATTTAGGTGAATCTACTTTTATATTATATAGTATTTTTAAGGCGTGTTTATTTTATCTTGAATTAAAGGAACCAAGAAATATTACAAAATTTAGGTTACAGTTACAACTAGGTGTTAATTCTTAGAATGAGCAAAGAATTAATCAAGTGTTAACTAGAAGTTTCTTGGAGCAATTTTCCCAGCAAAATTCTATTAGAACACTGCAGGATAGCCTTCATTGTATTATGTTTGACTTTTTCAACATGATCATAAAATTGGTCATTTCTTCATAACCTTCAAGGGTTTTAGCAATTTCCTCAAGGGTGGCTCTTAATCCTTTGATATTCAAATCATTCTTTTGAGATGCCTACCATGTCATAACATCTCTAAGTAACTGGCTAAGTGGCATTTCCTCATTTGTCAATGATTTTGTGATTCAAACAATTTATGAATTTCATGAAAACCTGAGTCCTTTGTAAGATCTGTAATCACAATATATATACAGCACTTGATACTGTTGCCTGATATGAAACATCAAGGATATAACAATGTTAACTGAAAGAATAGAAAAGAAACTAGTGTTAAAACAGCAGGGGATATCTGAGTAGGATATCCTACTGTGTTTTTTAGTGGTCAGCTTATTAGTAAATATTTTCATGTTAGGATGACTTTCACTTTCCTATGGCAACCTGTTGACTTAGGAGAATTAGGATACTAAATACTCAGGTACACACTTATCCATATTCTAACATAATATTCTCTAAACTGTGGTTGAGGCTTTTCCAGTAACAGACTCAAATGAGCAATATTTTGCTAACATTGGATGTTTGCTACTCTAACATTAAGGTCCCAGACTTTCAATTCTATAATATTTCCAACTAGTACTAGAGTTCCTTAAAGCCTGGTTCTAGGTCCTCTTCTGCATTCCCTTTCCTTAAATGATCTTGTCCATCCTCATGCCTTAAAGTATCAACTACGCAGTACTAAGGCCCAAATATGTGTTTTTCAGTCCACATCTTTCCAACATCTCCCCTTGCATGCCTCAATATATATCTCATACTTAGCAGTCCAAAATCTTGTTCCCAAATACCCATGAATCACCTCTACCCCTTAAAAAAGTTTTTTCTCCCAAGTTCTCCCCAACTCAGTAATGGGCACTACCTACCTGCTCAAACCAGAAACCCAGGCATCTCTCCTTTCTCTCAGGTATCTCCAAACCAATCCATCAGTATGTGTTTAAGTACTACCACGGAAATATTTGTTGGCTCTGCCCACTCCCATTTTCACTAAATGGAACGACCTTTACTAAGCCAAACCTTCCTTCTGCTTTATTGCAATTACCTCCTAAATTGTCTATTTTCTATACTCTTGCCTCCCTCTCTTACACCATTCTCCATAAAACTTATTATAGTTTTTAAAGAGACTGTGTTTCTTCTCTACTTCTGTTCAATGACTTCATGTTGCACTTGAAATAAAATCTAGATCTTTGCTATGGTCTTCAAAGTCTTGCACAACCTAACTCCTGCTCTCCTTTCCAAACTCATCTTAGAGCTCTCTCCCTCTTCCTAATAACTAAGCTGTATGTAGCAGACTGGTCTTATTTTTTCCTACTTGTCTTTGTACTTGCTTTCCTCCTGATTTATTCCACCCTTCAGATCTCAAACTATAAATGTAACATTTCCAGAAAGACCTTCCCTGACCCTGTCTGAACACTCTCCAATTTGTCTTTACCATAGTATCTATTTATTGTCTTCGAAGAACTTACGATCTGTAAACATTTAAGATTGTTTAAATGTTACTGTGTCTTCCCCTATAGAATGTAACATCCACAGCAGCAGTAACTCAGTCTGTCTTGTTTACCATTCCATTATTCCATCTCCAGGCATACAGGCATACCCACCAATACTCGATACAGGGAGAAGTCTTTTTTCCCTACTTGTGATATGTTTGGCATAACGGTATGGGGGACTTTCTAACTCCAAATGAACTCATTCACTATTGAAAAAACACAAGGAAACAAAAAATAAAAATAAAAAACAACTTCACATAACAAAGACTGGAACCATTCTTACTTGAAGAAAGGGATGTGGGTATCTTCACTTTAAGCTCTTCTTTGTAAACGTCCCCAAACAATGAATAAGGATCAGAGCCGAAACGTGGGGCATGCTTTGGGTTTAGATGGAAAAGCTTCTCCGAGTATCAGTCCGAACACAATATCTGATCCCCTTCTCCCACCTCTACCTAGTCCATGAAAAACCGGAGAGACAATAACGACAGGCGGTGATCACCGCAGCACCCTCCCAAAGCTGACTGAGATAGCAGGAAGTCTTCAACCCACTCTCGCGCATTGACTCCCAGCGTAATAAGGCTTCCCCACTCCGCGGTTGAAAGCTACCCGCCAGTCCCATAATGTAGGGCAGAACACCCGAGATGAGTTTTTTAGAAGATCCAGCCTTCTCTCCCTACAAGGCCCGCGCCGCCCACCGTCCGGGCTCGAAGCTCAGCAGAACCAGATAAGAAACGGCAAGCGCCGGCACCGAGGCTGTGGGTACCACACCGGAGAGTAGGCCGGGAAGTAGCAGGCGCTTGCCAGGCACAGGGAGGGGTCTGTGAGATTTCTTCCTCACCGCCACACCCCAGTGCTGTAGGACAAGCACAACTCCTCTATGCCCGCTAGGCAACCAGTCCCAGGCTAGCCTAGGGGGCTTGGTACTGGGACCCCCACTGCCTCCGCCTCCTTACCAGTGTGATCCATGATTCGGCTCGCAGAGCACAGTGGGAGCGGAAGTCAACTGCGCCGGAGTCGCAGGGGGCGCTTGCGCGCTACCTTCCGGAGCCCGGGAGTCGGAAGTAGGACCAGGTGGCCCCGGCTTTGGCCTGCAAGGGTTTTCTTCTCGCGTACACTACCCAACTCCTGTGAGGAAGTCAGGCATACTTCGGGCGGAGGGAGAAAGAGCGAGTTCGAGAAGAGCTTCTCACGTGCTTCGAGTGAGAGTAGCTTCTAACTGTTGAAAGGAGACCGACGGGAAGCGGGGAAGGAGAAAGCAGTAGTGCCCCTTGGAATAGGCTCCCGGCAGGTAAGACGGACGCCCGCCCCCGCAATGCATTGCCTTCTGGGACTTGTAGTACAGTGGAGCCCTTAAGCTTGTCGGGCCAACAGCGCAGGCTCCGCCATTGGGCTGGCCCCACCCTGCGGGCGGAGTGTTGGTTTGGGTCTCCTCCCCACACTCACCGCCACCCGCACCCCACCTGCCCCGCCGTAGCCTGAGGTCCACGAGCGACCGTCTCCTCCCCTAGGTCTAGGAAAAGTGTAAACACGCGCGTTCCGGAAACCGTTCTAGGCTGGGAGGTCGCCCAAGGGATGGATGAGCTGTGTGAAGCTTTCAGTGCTCGTCTAAATATCGCTGTGTCGTGACGAGCTACATAGACCCAACGCAAAGCGGACTTGGTGTATGTCCCAGTTCCTACCTCTTTAGTTTCTAACCATTGCAACACATTTAAATTGTTTGGTATTCATTCTCCAGCAAAAACGCTTGTGCCTCTAGGAACCCCTAGAACACACCTCAAGGGTTGGACGCAGGGTCAGGTGGAAACTGCGTGCAGCGCAGCCGCCTGTTACTAGGGGACACCCGGCAATAAAGTGCAGAGTGGAGCTGAAGGAGCAGATAGACGTGGGAAGAGATGAAGAGAGCGGTTAGGGCTGGCGGGAAGGGTGAGCTTAAAAAGGAAAGGACTGAAAATGAGGAAGAGAGAGTTACCACAACTAGCAGTACCTAGTTCCAGTTCTTGGTCCCAGGGGTTTGTGGTCGCTGCTGCTTTCATCTTCCCTGTCCAAAACAAAGGAAAGTGCCAAAGAGTGATTCCTGAGGGCCTTCAATGCAGTCTCCACCTCGTGGACTTGGCTTATTTGTGTCCACTCCTTTCCCCAGCCTTTTACACTTGATGCCTTTGAATAAGTAGAAAGGAGTACAATTAGTGGAAAACACAAGCTGAGGAGTCAAGGGATTTGGGTTCTATTCTTGTCCTCCCTTGGTGACGACATCATTACCAGGTTATTCACACTTTCAATGCCAGAGTTCCTAGATCAATAACAGATTATGTTGAACTCTTTACAGAAATGTTTTCATGGTACTGAATTCATCATAAAATATGTGTAGCAATGTGCTCTATCTGTGTAGTTATACAGTAACAACTTTGAATAATAACATGATCAATACTATAAGTGTTGTGTCATTCAGTGAGTGTTTCACTGAGGATTTTTTAAAAGACATGCCCGCTATATTTGCAGCTTTATAAACAAGTTTTTAAGTACATTCATAACTAAGGTCAATTGTGAATCAAAGTTACCACTGCTTTTGTTAAAATGTAAATTCCTTGTTTTGGGGGTTGGAGGAAGCTTAACCTTTTCTCAAATCTCCCTATTTCTGTAAATATATTACTGACATGATTGGACATTCTACCAGTCTGGGGTATAAAAGCAGGTAGTTTTCACCTAGAAAGAGCTCTTTTTATTTTCTGTCCTCATATTTAGCCTATCAGCCATACTTCAGATTGATGGAAATCCAGCTTCTGAATAATATTAGTATCTGCTAATGCTAATATTTAAAAAAATTAGAATAAAAAGAAACTTCAAACTGTATTTTACATAATTTAATCAGTAAATAGGGAGTTTTGTCAGCGTTTTATTGTCTACCAAGTTATGAAAATTTACTGCCCTGGCTGGTGTGGTTCAGTGGATTGCTCACTGACCAGCAAACCAAAAGGTCAGTGGTTTGATTCCCAGTCAGGACACATGCCTGTGTTGTGGGCCAGGTCCCTAGTTAGGGGTGTGAGAGGCAACTAAATGATGTTTCCCTCCCTCTCTTTCTTCTACCCTTCCTCTCTTTTTAAAATAAAAAATAAAAAAATCATCTTAAAATCTTGTAACTCAGCACCACATGTAAAAAACAATGGAAAGACCTTTTTTTACAACATTTACTGAGGGAAGACTCACTCATTTTAGACTTATTGATAAAATGTTAGAAAAAATTTATTGAATTATTTGATTTGACATGTTTTTATGCATTGCATTAGCATCTGTGGTCTATGTTCATTTCTCCCCTAACTCTAGTTGCTTCATTTTACCAGTGCAGTAACAGTGTGACAAATTACTTTCTTTACCTAAATCAATAAGTGAAACTATACATACACAGGCTTATTTTTTATTATTGTGCTGTGGTATCTATTGTTGGTGACCTGTATGCTGCAATCAGCCACAGTTTCTTTATTGGAAATTGACATTCACATTTATAGCATGGTACTGTCCTAAGCTTTATAAAAATGAAACATTATCATAATAGACCATCTGAAGCACTGAGGTGCATATTTTCATCTTGGTGACAGACCATCTGCTGGCCTATGAATTACAAGCTAACGTTCTTCAAGATGTTTCAATAGCTTTCCATTTACATAGCACTATTTATACGCTGTAAGAAAAATAGGATGGTATCAGAGAGCTTGTTTTCCCAAGACCTTGTTTGAGACTCCTCAATACAAGAGCAGGACATTAACCTTCCTCTCCTTAAAGCTCTTTCAGTTGTGTCACTCATGGTGCCTAAGATTGCAGAAGGTAAGAACTATATAAATAATGGTCCCTAACTCAAGTACCACACAGGCTACCATTTGTAGAAATAATTAAGAAGACACATGATTCTGTGTATTTTGAGGGAATGCAGTGCTACCTACATTGAGAGAAAATAATAAGCAGTGGGATTGAGGATGGTTAGGTAAGCTTTACAAAGGGATTTAGGCTGAGCCTTGATTAACAGATAGGATTGGAGAAGAGGAGAACAATGAAAGGCATATCAAGCAGGAAATAGTAACAACACAGATGAGAATTGTTATAGCTTCTGAAGAGGACAGTGACCAGCTTGAGTTGTACTGTTTATCCGTGCTTCAAAGTACTGAAAAATTATTGCAAAGATGCTTGAAAAGATTTTAGAGTACCAGTTGAGAACATATGAACAAAACCTAGCAAGATATATTTATATAAACAAAATGATTCAGAGGGATATATTGAAAAGTAATGAGCAAATCTTAAATTTATGGGGGGAGGAATTAAATAATTGTGTAACTGGTAAGAGAAGATCAATTGACCAAAAAGCCAGAGACCCGTGTGATGGCCAAAATGCCAGCAAGTATGAGTGAACTGTTAATAAGAGAAGAACTGATCAGGATAGTGACCATCTACATTAACAAGTTTGATTAAGTGGAAATGGATAGAAAAAGCAGTAGAAAATAGTAATTATATATATAGACTTGGGAATTACAGATGGGGGTTCTCAAGCCTAGCACTGCCATTTATCACTTTAGGCAGATTACCTAACCTTTGTGGTTGACTGCCTTCATTTGTAAAATGGAGATAATAATAGTACCTGTCTCGGGATTGTTGTGAGAATTGAATATTATCTAAAGCACTGAGGACCCTGAGGCACACAGTAAATCCTCATTAAAGGGTAGTTATTAGGACTAGGGTAGTTATTATATCCATTGCTTCTGGAGGTAAGAGAAGAGTAAATGAAATAACAATAGAACAGCTGGTACATATTAAATGTTAGCTACAATTTCATTATTATTGTAACAGGGAAGGTTGAGCAAGATCGCTGGGGAGCACAGGAGGAAAACCCAGAAGTGGCACCAGAGCCAGCACCCCTCCCCTGAAGAAGGGCATGGAGAAATGCCTGGTGGCAGATTGAAAGAGCTGCTGAAGAAGAGGGGCCACCTCTGAGGAGGCTGCAGGAGGCAACTCTAAACATGGCTGGAGGCTGGCATGTGACTAAAGACTCTGCCCCCTTCCAGAACACGGTGGCCGGAAATAGGTCGAAGACACAGTGACAAATGTGTCACACATTAGCACACACTGGTTGAAAAGCCAGATGGTCCACTGCACATGGGTTTCTGGGCCGAGGCTTTAAAACAAAACACATGGGAAAGCGCACTGTCTAGCCCTTGCCTTGCCACCCCCCCACCCCGTTGGGGTGGGGCACAGGAGCACTGTCAGGACTGGCAGATGCCGGGTGCTTGAGGGTTTTCCCCGCCTGGTGCAGTTGGGAGCCAGCTTGCAGAGGCGGAGTTCCATGCAGGGACACATCTCACAGGGCACAGGCCCTGGAAAATGCAGTGACCCTGCACCACACAGCAAGGGTCTGAGGCTGTACCCCCGCTCTTGTGCTCAGGGTAGCACAATGAGGCGTGGGCTTGGAATACTCACCAGCCAGGGGGATGAGAATAACCGTGCAGTGCTGGGCCACACGGGTGGAGCTTCCCCTGCACAACTGATGGAAGTGATCTTGCAGCAGCATGATGGGGAACTTCTGGACATGGGTTTAGATTCCCATCTTTCTAGGAACTGGGGAACTTCTGTGTTTTGTGGAAGAGGTTGGCTTAGAGTAGGGATGCTCCCCTCCCCAATTTGGGTACCCCATTGGTAAAAACCTTTCTCCTTCTCCACCAATCCTCATGTTATGTATGCACATGGCAGCAGGCAACAAGACCCCAGGCTGCTTGCTTACCTTATGTATAAAAATGTACTGGAAATAGGTTTTGAAGATAAGGTCAATAAGGCTGCTTTGGACCTGTTAGCACACTGAGGCTCACATAAAGCAAGCCTGGTATTTAACCAAGACTTTGACTTCTGTATACTGGAGTCAGTTGAAGTGATCTGCTCTCAAACTGGGTCAGCAGGCTTAACTCCAGCCTTACAAAGTCCCAGCTTCCTCCTCCCCCTCCCAGCTCTTGAAACTGAGTCCCAATGTTTTACCACAGCCAAACCTTATCAATTATGGCAGCTGGTTTTCCAAGTATCAAAAACTGAACTGGGCAAGAGATATTTTCAGGGAATGGGAAGGAAGACGGCAAGGATTGAAAGTTGCCAATTGAAGGCATTTCTCCATTCTTATCCTTTGAAGCCTGGCAGTATGCATACCCATTCAGATAGGAGTCCTTTTTAAACCTTTTTTTTTCTTTTATTGGTTTCAGAGAGAGGGGAAGGGAGGGAGAAAAAGAGGGAGGAGAACATCGATGTGAGAGAAACATCGATTGGTGGCCTGGTGCATGTGCACCAGGATGAAACAGTGGATGAAAGCCACAGCCCAGGCATGTGCCTTCACTGGGAATTGAACCTGTAACCTTTCAGTCTGCAGAATGACACCTAATCAACTAAGCCACACCAGCCAGGGCAGGAGTTCTTTGATCTAGAGGCCCTGCGGCCTTCCTTCTCATGTGAGAAGGACAGTTTGCTATGGGTATCCTTCAAACTGGATAGGCCTGCTTTTTTCCCTGACCCTTCTGCTAAGAGAGAATTGCCTATTTTTTACCCCTATATTTCTATTCAGCTCACTCCTAAAAGAATGTTTAGGATATTAAACTGCTCTGTAGCTATGCCATGTTTGTAAGCAAGCAGTCTGTGATACTATTTTCTAGATTTTAGAAACCTTTTGTACAAGTGCTCATTGACCCTAACCCCAGCTGCTACTCCATGCCAGTTAGAAGGAGTTTTCAGTCTTTCTTGGGATACTTGGTGTGTAAATAGGCCCTGTTACTGTTTAAATACCTCTCACTAACAGGAATACATTTTATACCACAACAGGTTTTCAATAAATGTTCATTTCCTTTATTCCCAGTACTTTAAACACAAACTCACCCACATACTGTTGTGAAATTATGTTTACCTTTACCAAATACAATGTTGTCTGCTATTTCTGTTGTATTCTGTCCCTTTTTTTAAAGTGCTGGTTATAACTCACTAAAATATCCAAGTATACTAATGGCTTGAAATTTAAGTTTGAAAACCACTGCTTTATATTTCTCATGGTGTTTCCAAGAGCTTATGCTATTCTAGAAATGTCTGCAAGGGAGGATAAATCTTAGCATCAGGAGGACTAAATCCTTGTGTGGCTCTGCAGTAGGGTGACAGGGAGGAAGACAGATAGATATCCAAGACCAAAGAATGCCAGGAAACTGAAGAACAAGGGTACTTGGAGTTTCTTTCCTATAATCTATAATGGTTACCTCCTGAGAACTGGGTGTCCAAATGAACAAAAACAATTTCTTGACAGTAGACTTAATACCTACCAGTCCATTAGATGAGGAAAATATTAGGCATGAATTTGTGATTCTTACTCCCATTTTAAACCTACCTCTCTATCAAGACACTTGCTCATATGCTACTTTCTCCATTAAGCCTTCTCTGACTCATTCTTACATCAGGTAATATATGTAGTAGAGAAAGAGCATGAGCTTTGGAATCAGGCAGACTGGGTTCAAATGTCAACTCTTTATGTGTGATAATTTGTCAATTATGCTTAATTTATGTATCAGTAAAATGGAGATAATGATAACTTTCCTTGTGGAGTTGTCCTGATGATCAAAGGCCATAATGTCTGTGAAGGTTCTTTGTTGCTTCCCAAATAACAGGCTTTCAATAAATGTTCATTTCCTTCATTCCATTTGATAATTACAGCTCCTTTAGAACATCCAGGCACTGTGCTTTCTTTAAGAAATCACACTCTGCTTCATATTGTAGCAACATGCTTATTTTATCCACCCTTGAGGATAGGGTTCATTGGCTGTTCATAGTTATTTAATACACAGAATTTAGTAGAAGGTGCTCATAAAATACTTGTTGGCTTACTGAAAAATTTCATCAGAGATAATATGGCCCTGTCAAAAATTTAAAAAAGAAATTTGCACTGGCCAAGTGGCTCAGTTAATTGGAGCATAGCCCCAGACACCAAAAATATTGTGGGTCTGATTCCCAGGCCAGGCACATAACTAGGTTGTGGGTTCCATCCTTGGCCAGGGCAGGTGAAGGAGGCAACTGATGAATATGTCTTTCTCCCCCTTTCTCTCTTGGCCACCCTCCCCCCCACCCCCTTCCTCTTCCTCTCTCAAATCAAACATATAGAAAATGTGCCCTTGCTGGTGTGGATCAGTGGGTTGAGCGCTGGCCTGCAAATCCAAAGGTCACTGGTTCAATACCTAGTCAGGGCACATGTCTGGGTTGAGGGCCAAGTCCCCAGTTGCAGGCCTTGGAGAAGCAACCAATCAAGGTTTCTCCCCATCTTTTTCCCTCCATTCTTTCTCTATAAATAAATGAAATCTTTAAAAAATATATTGAAAATATACCCTCAGGTGAGGGTTTTTTTTTTTAATATATAAAACTTTTGCATAAAATGAATGTGGCAAACAACTGGATTAAAAACTCACAATAAAAAATAAGTAATTATAAAAACTTCTGGTCACAATGAAGGCGTAGGTAGATACACTGTGCCTCCTCGTATAACCAAAAGAAGGACAACAAATTTAAAAACAAAAACAATCAAAACTGGAAGAAAATCAAACTGTAAGTCCCACAATCAAGAAGTTGAAGAAGAAACATCCATCCAGACTGGTAGGAGGGGCCGAGATGGGCAGCTGGGGTGGAGAGGATTTATGGCAAGGCAGTGGCTGGAGCACCTGGGTGGGTGAGGCGGTGGCTGGCAGACCCACTGGTCCCACATTTGCATGCAGATAAACCAGGAGAAACAATAGGAGAGTGAGACAAACCGCAACCTAGGGTTTCCAGCATGGGGAAATAAAGCCTCAAAGCCTCTGACTGTAAAAACCTGTGGGGGTTGCAGCTGTGGGAGAAACTCCCAGCCTCACAGGAGAGTTTATAGGAGAGACCCACAGGGTCCTAGAATATACACAAACCCACCAACCCAGGAATCAGCACCAGAAGCGCCCAATTTGCTTGTGGGTAGTGCAGAAAATTACTGAAAGCCAGCCAAGCACTGAGCAAGTGGCATTGTTTCCTCTCTGACTCCCCCACATAGAGCACCACACTGCAGCCACATCGATTGACCCGCCCTGGTGATAACCTAAGGCTGTGCCCCTCACTATATAACGGGTGCTGAGATTTTTTTTTTTTTTAAAAAGGCCCAAATGAAAGAACAGATCCAAGCTCCAGAAGAAATACAACTAAGCGATGAAGAGATAGCCAACCTATCAAATGCACAGTTCAAAACACTGGTAATCAGGATGCTCACAGAAATGGTTGAGTATGGTCACAAAATGGAGGAAGAAGTGAAGGCTATGCAGAGTGAAATAAAGAAAAATGTACAGGGAACCAACAGTGAAGGGAAGCAAACTGGGATGCATATCAATGGTGTGGACCAGAAGGAAGAAATAAACATTCAACCAGAAAAGAATGAAGAAATAAGAATTCAAAAAAATGAAGAGAAGCTTAGGAACCTCCAGGACATCTTTAAATATTCCAGCATCCATATTATAGGGGTACCAGAAGGAGAAGAGGAAGAGCAACAAGTGGAAAACTTATTTGAACAAATAATAAAGGAGAACTTCCCTATTCTGGCAAAGGAAATAGACTCCCAGGAAGTCCAGGAAGCTCAGAGAGTCCCAAAGAAGTTGGACCCAAGAAGGAACACACCAAGGCACATCATAATTACATTAGCCAAGGTAAAAATGAAGGAGAGAATCCTAGAAGTAGCAAGAGAGAAGGGGACAGTCACCTACAAAGGAGTTCCCCTCAGACTGTCAGCTGATTTCTCAAAAGAGACCTTGCAGGCAAGAACGGGCTGGAAAGAAGTATTCAAAGTCATGAAAGGCAAGGACCTACATCCAAGAATACTCTACTACATCCAGGAATACTCTATCCAGCAAAGCTATTAATTAGAATGGAAGGGCAGAAAAAGTGCTTCTCAGGTAAGGTCAAGTGGAAGGACTTTGTCATCAATAAGCCCTTATTATATGAAATGTTCAAGGGGCTTATCTGAGAAAAAGATGATCAAAAACTACGAACAGTAAAATGACAACAAACTCAACAACTATCAACAACCAAACCTAAAAAAAAAAAACAACAAAAAACTAAGCAAACAACTAGAATAGGAACAGAATCACAGAAATGGAGATCTCATGGAAGGTTATCAGCAGGGAGGTGGAGGGAGGAGAATGGGGGAAAACTACATGGAATAAGAATAAATGGTAGGTACAAAATAGACAGGGGGATAGTATAGGAAATGGAGAAGCCAAAGAACTGTAATGTATGACCCATGGACATGAACTAAAGGGAGTTGGGGGTGGAATGTGGGTGGGAGGGGGAATGCAGGGTAGAGGGGAATAAAAGGGGGGATGGGAGTACTGTAATAGCATAATCAATAAAAATATTTTTTAAAAAAATAAAAATAATATAGTAGTCTTTATTCAACGCAAGGCCTATGTGCCCATTTCTTGCCCAGTCTCTGCTCTGTCAGATCCCTGTAAGCCGCATTGCCCTGACTCCTGTTTTAGCTAACGTCTGGCTGGGGTCAACTGATGAGAGCCTGGTGTGAATGAGAGAATCCGGGGATATATTCTTCACAGCAGTTGTGTTCTTTTTGGTCCTGTTTTTCAGATAGCACTGCTTTCTCCTTTTGTCCCTTCAGCCTAAGGGCTTAGTGGCTTTGGGCTTTAACACTAATCTCTGGGTTACCTCATTGTCACATTTGGCTTCTTAGCTCTTCCATTATCTACACAACCAGTTCCCTGGATTAAGTTCCCTTACTGAAAATATTCAAAGTAGTTTCCAGTTAGACCCTGACTGCTCTGTGATAGGTGCTGTTTTAATTAAAATACTCTAATTTTAATTAATTTGATACAACAAAAGCACATGAGGTAGAACTTTTTTTCTTTAATGTGAGGGGTATTACTTTTTAAAACAGTTCTTTCTAGGTTAGGAAAAGAAATTATGAAAACCTGTCAGGGGTTAGAGTTGTTATTAATATTTTAAACTACTTTTCAGTTTTAGACAGTAAACAATTCATGAAAGATTAGTATGTATGTGCTTTCTGTTACCTCTTTATAATTTTTTATTACATATTTATTTTGTTGAGGCTTATAACATTCACATTCTATTCTGTAACCATAATTCCAATAATTGTTTAGAATTAGTAAAGTTACATATTTAAACCAGTTATATTTCACTAGAATGTAAGTTTCACACAGGCAAGGTGGGTTATTTGCTTTGTTCACTGGTGTAGTAAAATGATAAGAAGAATGTCTAGCACTAATAAATACTTGTTGAAAAGTGATTTACAGTTATTACTCTTAGTTTAAAATTTTAATTTCTCCCCTAATTGGCTGGGTTTCATTGTAGTATATGTGCATATGTATAAACACACAAACATAGAGCGTTTTTCTCACTCAAGAAAAGACCCTGGCTGATGTGGCTCAGTGGATTGAGTGCAGGCCTGCAAACCAAAGGGTCACCTGTTTGATTCCCAGTCAGGGCACATGCCTGGGTTGTGGGCCAGATCCCCAGTAGCAGGTATGTGAGAGGCAACCACACATTGGTGTTCCTCTCCCTCTCTTTCTCCTTCCCTTCCCCTCTCTCTAAAAATAAATAAAATCTTTTTTTTTAATCTTAAAAAATCTTTTTTTTAAGATTTTATTTATTTAGTTTTTAGAGAGGGAAGGGAGGGGGAGAGAGAGAGAGAGAGACATCAATGTGCAGTTGCTGGGGGTTATGGCCTGTAACCCAGGCATGTACCCTGGCTGGGAATCGAACCTGCAACACTTTGGTTCGCAGCCCGCGCTCAATCCACTGAGCTATGCCAGCCAGGGCAAATAAAATCTTTTAAAACAAGAAAAGCTCAGACATGCTATGTTGCTTGAGTTCCTTCATGTTTGAAGACATATTATCTTCTGGCATTAGATATTC